TATATATATATATATATACATATATATATATATATACATACATACATACATACATATATATATATATATACATACATACATACATACATATACATATACATATACATACATACATACATATACAGAATATAGTTTGTGACTTCATACATAGAATATATATAGTTACTCCATATATAGAATATATATAGATATATAGAATATAGTTTATGATTTCATACATAGAGTATGTACATATATAGAATATAGTTTGTGACTTCATACATAGAATATACATATGTAGAATATAGTTTGTGACTCCATATATAGAAGCCGGTAAATTACTACCTTAGACGAGGCAGGCTGTAGTAGCGTGTTTTTTATACTCCCCAATTGCAAGGGCATCCCTTAGCTCCTATTTCAGTCCTTCTCCCCCTTAGACTGTAGTTCCCGAAGTGTTGCAAACTCTCCTGGGGGGAGGGGAGGTATTGCTAGTTTGGTGAGATCATTCCCTGCAACTGAGTTCTGGATCCTGGATTCCGCCTACAGGTTTGATCTTGGAAGTTAGTCCATTTAGTTTGCTTTGTTCCCATCCAGGTGAGGCTCCCTCCAAATTCAAAAGTAAAACCTATTGCTAAAGATGCCTTTGTTTGTTGGCTTGGGAAAAGTCTAGGTATAAAATTCCAGGGGTGTCATCAATGCTCCCATTAATGGGAGACCAGGCTCTTTAATAAAAAAAGGAAATAAAAAAAGGAAAAAGGGGTTGCTAAATTGATATGCCACCCTACTCCTAGCGACTTTAGGGGCTGTGCCACTATAAAGATGTGTAAATCGGGTAAATTAAAGAACTGGGGCATATGTCTTATGCTTATTTCTACAAACTGTTGTCCAGGGGTGTCAAACTCAAGGCCCTGGGGGCCAGATCCAGCCTGCAGGGCTGTCCTAAAAACAGCAGACCGACCTGCAGTACCTCTGCCAGTGAAAATGGAGCTTGGGAGGGCTGCGTGTGGCCCTCCTGAACTCTCTCTTTGCTGGCAGTGGGTTACAGGAGGCCATTACAGCCGAAAATGGAGCTCACGAGGGTTGCAGGCAGCATTTCCAAGCTCCGTTTTCACTGGCAGAGGGTTGCAGGAGGTCGCTAGCAGAGCGCTCAGGCCACCACAGGTGCCCCCGATACAAGTGATGTTGAGCTGGCAACACCCACCATGGCCATGTCCACCCCCAAGGTCAAACACAACCCTGATGAGGCCCTCAATGAAATCAAGTTTGATACCCCTGGTTTAGTCTAATCCAATTTTGGTCTCCAACTGTGGAATTGAAAATGACTTGATGGTACATAATCAAAAATTAAACACCATTAAACAGATGTTGACATTTGGCACAAATTGTAATTGACAAATCAGCCTTAGGTGTCCTGCTGATCCTTATTCCCATGCAGAAAATAGGTATAACTCTGCATGCGTCTCTCTTATAGAAAGTGATCAAATGTGCTGCTGACAGTCTTACCTTCTAAAGCCACTGGTTACTTGCTGCTTTTTTGCCCATCCGTGTTCATTCCGTTTCTCTGTTTAAGGAAATATCATTGAACGTATACAAGAGGTTAGGGATTGTCTAGTATTCTATAAAACTTGTGGATTTGACTCCACGTATATATATTGTAGACATGTACCTGAGTTCTTTAATTTACTTGATTTACAGATCTTTATATTGACACAGCCCCCAGAATCTTTGGGAGTACAGTGACATATGTTTAATATATACTAATAATCCTAAGGATGACTGGCTGGCATTCTTCTTTCAGGTATTCTATTGATATAAGAGACACGTTAAAATTAATTTACTTTTCCAATCATTTCTTCTATTTGCTTATTGAAGATTTTAATTTGCTGGAGTTATTACTCTTAATTTTCCTCATTTGAGTGGCTTAGACAAGATTTTCCTGTTCTCCATTTTGTATCCTGATTGTTTCCAATATTCTAAATACCAAGTTTAGTAAAAACCTATATCATGTTTGTTTAAGTAGTCCCAATTCTTTAGTACTTTTTATAAATCTCATCATTTGTTTAGTTATGATTTTTCTGCTGAAGTTGACAGTTGAATGAGTCATTAGAATCTTAATTTAATTTACATTCAAATGAATGTAAAACACATATTTGCCCAGAATAAATTTTTACTAGTTTCACGTTACATACTCTTCATGTGAAACAGGTTTGAAACTTTAGCCATTATTATCTGGCCTGTAACTATTGTGTCTGTGATTTCCTTACTGTATTATGAATACTGAAATATCAAGAACACTGAAAAATAACAATAATATGTATAAATTTGAGGGGTCCACGGTGCTCTCTAAGCTTGGTTGTTTTCTTGCAGATATTTCATTACCCAAACTAGGAAACATCATCGGTGCCAGACTACCAAGCTCAGTACCAAGGATCCTCATTCAAACCCGAACTACAAATATTCTCCTTTATCAGTATAAATTTCCATGATTCTAATCTTCCATTCCCTGGTCTTCAAATAAATAGTTTTATTGCATAGTGTCAGTTCCTTGCCTTGTAAGGCATTGGAAATATTTCCTTAGTGTACAATATCTGTATACAAATTTATTATTCTAAAATATCTTTATGTTTCTTAAGAACTCTGAAATTCATTCACTTGAATTCCATATAGTAATTAAGTTCAGTTTAGCTTGGAGTGGCATTAGTTATAAATGGTGAGCATTATTTCTCATACTGATAAAAGTAATACCATTATTAGAACAAGGAACAGGCAGAGATTGTCTAGCTTTCACCAAAATAAAAGCCCACAAGGCAGTATGCTCAAAAGTGTACCAAAATGTACAGGTTTTACAATTTTAGATTGCTTATATATTGCTTTATCATTTGAAAGTAAAATACTTGCTGGATTTCTTATAAGCTTACATTTCTTTTAAATTGGTAATATTATTAAGAGCTCTTAAATTTCTACTTGCTTGGATTAATTTCTCAGAGGCTATGGAAGCTACTTGGTGAAAAGAACAATGACAGCCATGGATGGAGTCACACTAATTATGAAAAAAGTTCTTGGAATGATGAAGTGAAAGACTCAGAAGTGAAAAAGTTATGTGAGAGAATGATTGCTGCAAACAATGAGACAAAGCTATTTTATTATGGGGATATAGAAAAAAAGATAATTGCAAAGAATGTCAAAGAGAGCAAGGAATTTAAGATTGGGCACAGCGGAAAATGTAGAGTGACATTGATAAAAATAAAAATCTATTTTGGAAGCAAAAAGGATGAACAGGAGTGAGTACCTCCATCAGTGTGAATACTATTAAAAATAAGAAGGATGAAATGTATAAGAGAAATTTGTAATTATATTAGAGGTTAATTGGTTTAGAACAGGTGTCAAACTCACATCGTCACGGTGGCGTCATGGTAGTGTCCCGTGATGTATCAGGACTTTTCACCCCTTCACTAAATCGGGTGTGGGTGTGGCTAGTGTGTGATGCATCCGACCCATGGGCCAGGAGTTTGACAGCCTTGGTTTAGAATGTGAGTATGTATATTTGTACTGTACATAGATAGTGAAGTTTTGCTGAATAAAAACCAAATGATTTGCAGTGACTATTAGCTAGATTTGTATGCAATTGAAAAATTTTACACAAAAACTTATGTTAAGTACTGCAGTTGAACTTGTGTACCTTAATGCAAGTTTTGTTACAAATAGAAAATGAAATTTTAATATGTGAAAATCCTGATAGAAACTTATATAATTTCTATATAGTTTGTTGCAAAGAATGCTGTTGAAAGAAACCAAGTGGCTGGGTATGTTGAATGTTGAATGCAATGGAACAGGGTAATTAAATGCATGTCTAATACAAGATATAGACTTGAGAACAAATAAAAACTGAATGTTGATTGAATACAAAAATGAGCAATCAATAAAGTTAGTGCCTGACTTACAACCACAATTCAGCCCAAAATTTCTGTTGGTAAGTGAGATAGTTAAGTGAATTTTGCCCCATTTTACAACTTTTC